CATATAAGGATGCATATAAGGTTGAAGCAGATTATATTAAATTTAATTCACAATCTTTTCAACTTGACAATGAGTCAAGTGCAGGAAGATTATAAAAAAAATGCTTGTTTGAGTTGAGTATCACCACAGAAATTCAACTACTCACATACAGTAACTTCTGCATTGCAGTGTTAATAAAGATAAACACTGAAGAAAATCACAAAAATGACTTGACAAAATGTGATGTCATTTAATATGTAAATTGTATGTTAGTAAAAATATTTTCATAAAATATTAAAAAATATGAAGCCAATAAACAGCACATAAAGTTAGTGTGATGTATGTAAAATTTATAATATACATATTTATTCAATATGTGTTTTATTATCCTCGTATTCAAATTTATTCAGTTCCGTGAACAACATTAAGAAAGTGAATAAAAACTCACTAATGTTCTATTTGAAAATAGTGTTCAGGTCTTGCCCATATCAGATATACATGTACATGTAGTAGCCTATGACACTTTTGACTGTTATTACCAGTGTTATCCCTCACTTTTATTTAAAATTATGCAAAAAGAAATGTATTTACAAAGGTACAGATAATAAAAAATGATTTTATAGTGGATTTTAAGGTGAAAAATTAAACGTATGTTATTTTCCCTCTCTAGTAATTGAAAACAGACGTATCTGTATTAGAAATGTATGGGGGAGGGGGGTAATCATGTCAATCGGTTCCCTTGCATGTTGATGCATCTGTATGCAGCTGTCAATTATGGTATTGAAGTGACACCAAATATATGTGTATCTATAATTGGATATTTCTTGGGATGCAAACAATGTGAAATGTATCTAACAAGCAATATGCATGTTGTATTGTTCAACTAACACTACCTACGTGTATCATATAGGTCAGTTATTCAGTGAGGTTTAGGAAACGCAGATATTCCAACTAAATGATTCTATACCAGAATGTGGGATTATCCTTGCTCCAAATTAAGAATTTCTTGACGAGAATTAGTTTCGTTTGTGTGGAAAGCTTGGTTTCCATGGTAACATACATATGACATGTATATTACTTTTTTGTGATAAATAAATCTTATATAGCCAGGCAAAATTTGATCTTTAGAATTCTGTGATTGTGTTGCTGATTTCAAATGGTAGTGACTATATATAGCCATGTTTATGATGGAAAACAAGCAAGCTGAAAAAAAAAATAACATGTCGTCACATGTGAATAAGAATACCATGGATTCACTATACAGTCTCTCCTTTTCATTGGTGTACAAATATTTGGATGGCTTAACGTTTTTTAAAATGACACTTGAAAACTCTGAAAGTACTTCTCAGGTTTCAGGCTGTTGTCATTGTTATGCAGATTACTGCCTTAAATGCAATACATTCTGATCGGCAAGCGTTTCAAACTCAATTTAGCCATCTATGTCTCTAATAGGCTGAATGGGTAGTAGACATAACTATAGTAGACATAAACCGCTCATGGTATGTGCATGCTGAGTTGAGCTAACCAGGCAAAGTCTCCTATAAAATAAAAGCAATTTTTGGTTTATTGGAGACACAATTTAAATATCTTGTTCTATGATCATTCACGTTGTTTGTTTAACATCATAAATACCTTCATGCTAATGAATCATTTTCTGCACCACAAGCAATATTTTTAATTGGAAGACAATTTCCTGGCAAAATAACAATGATACAAAGAAGAGGAAATCGTTACCAACATATGTAAATAATATTAATAATTTATACTTCCTTCCTCTTGCCCCCATCTCTTGCTAAATTGATTAAATTAAGTATAAAATAAATAATAATAATATACTTTCATTTGGAATTTATTTTCGCTGACAGAATGAATCTGTGAAAATAAAATCGAGTGAAAATAACATTTCCCCCATATATTGTACAATTTCAAGTTTGATTTTTACATTCAACTTGTCAGAAATCAGTACATATTCATACAAATCAGTCATAAATGTCTTTTCAGCTAAAATAAAATAAAGTATTTTACAGTAGTTCTGTAACATCTTAGTTCTTCTCAGTTTTGTTTCACTTTGATTTGAATGCAGCATAGCTGCTGTACATATTCCTAGTTATCTACCAGCTGTGTTGTCTTAAAGTACATTATTTGTGGTATGACGACTTGTATGGACTGTTGCCATGGTTCTAAGGTTAACATAATAAACTACATCAGTCTATTTTTAGCATAAAATAATATTAATCATGGTTTTGTTATATCTCCCCCCATTGTTTTTAATCTTAGTTTATTTTTGCTTGACTCTTGATATGTTTAAGAATTGAGTTCAGTTCTCAGGACAGATCAGCTTGACTTTGTTTGATTAGTTTTTTTTTATGGGGGGGGGGGGGGGATAATTTGACTGTTAATATGAAATTGCCATTTATTTTGCATTCTGGAAGGAGCAACTTCATAATTACATGTGAAACTGTCCAAGCATGTCTTCATTTTAAGTAAACACAGAGTTATTTGATGTTCTTAACTTGTATTTGATTTGTTGTACTTTCATTCCTTTATCTTAGGGGCATGTCAATATTCCATGGAGGGGTAATTAAAATATACCGTAAGTCTAGGTTCAGTTTTTTTCTTTAACTGAGGTTGTCTGTCGTTTTAGTTTGAAACAAGGACTTATTTGTGGGTACCGTCGGCCGGATGTTGTATCTCAGGAGATTTTATTCATACTTTTATGTATTCTATCAACAATACATGTACATGTATATCACCATAGCAATTTGATTCAAATATGTCCAAAGTACGTACAAAGACAAGACATACATGTAACAGTATACATAATGCGTGTTGACTTGTTTTTTTGATGACCTATGTCCGACTAGCAGCCATTTTGTTGACAAAAATAATGTTTCCACATGTCAACAATTTCTCAGGTATGCCTTGGGTGATTTCATTCAAAGTTGGTATTTACATCCTAATATCAAATTTACTAATTGCTATCCCTCATAAATAAATCAAACTTGATACAAATATGAATTTACATTTTTTTCTTGTGAATGTACTATGGCAGATTGTGTATTGGATGGATCTTGGCTGTATGTCACTGTGCATATATGTATAATAAAGTATGGTTCAATTTTATGGGTTATCTGATTATTGTTTTAAATGATGTCGTACATTATATGCATGATACTTAGGTATTTCATTGCAATATATAATTTGTTGATATGGCCCTGCATTTAAATAGTCAGTTTTACTAAAAATAAGTGTTTGCTTCTAGTACCGTATTTAATTCATTCACTCATACACTTGTCTAATCTGATTTAGAATTTGACCTAGGTACATGTAGAGGCTATATGTTTGCTTTTAATATATGGTTAACGACCTTTTGTGTTACTCTAATAACTACATCTCACCAACTCCCTATGTAAATCACAGGATCAGCAGCCAATAAGAGCTTGTGTTACATATAGCTTACTAGAATGACATAGTCTGTTTTAGTAAGGCATACTCTAATTAGTTGAGAATTTGCTTCAAAAGAGAGCTGTGTCTAACATGATTTGCATTAGGTAGTTTGGTGTGATGTACTTACAGGCATGTTATGGAATCCATATACAATGTAATGATCACAGAAACAACAAGAACATCTACCTACACCAGATGTAAATTAAACTGATGCATTTCAAACTGAATTTTAAAACAAATGGAATATTTGGCAGTTGAAGTATGGGATTATGGGGTGTTTTTAGAAGGAAGGATTTGATTAGGAAGTGGGTTTCTAATGGTCTCATGAAAACAATGACCTCCAACCCACCCACCAAATTAACTTCTAGTTCTATTTATGTTTATAGTGATCAAAGAAACCATTGAGATTAGTTTATCCACCCAAAATCTGAGTTTCTATCATAAAATTGTAGTATTTTTATATAAATTAACACAATGCTTCCATAGACATGCCAAAAACCCAAGGGAAAAATGATTCAACAGGCCATGTGTGAAACATTAAAATTCATTTGCATTGGTTTTGTGTTAAACGAACCAAAACATGGTTTTCTGCTTTTAATTAATCAAAGACTACATCAACTAATTTTTACAGTGTTACGACTAGTACTATATGTCATGTATTGTGCCTTTCACAGATCGTCTCCTCTTCAGTATATTCTGTGATGGTTGGTTTGATTGATAAATTTATTCTTCCACAACAATATTTTTTTTGTCATTTTGCACTATCCAAGTATGTCTGTCATAGCTCTTATTTTAATACACTATGAACCATTCCTAACATATGCTTTGTGTCTGTGTCTTTGTGTTGCATGATGTTTAGAATGTAAGATCTGTTTTAATTCATATTTTTTTTCTGGCCATGCTTCTAATCAACTTGATAAAAATAAAAAAATAAGTTGTTCCAGTTGGTTAATTGAGTTGATTCAATGCTAGTATGGCCACTGCATTTATACTCTACCCAATAACATATATAATACATGTCTTTTAATTGTATACATGTATCATACACTGCATAACAACAATTATTTTATGTTCTTGTTTCAATGTATTATGTTCCCAGAAGGATGAGTTAGCTTGCTCTATCATTCTCATTTTCTGCTTGGCCCATTCTGTAAGGTGATACCATTGTTCGGCAGGGACACAGCTCTGCATTGCTTCCACTCTCCCTTTGCAGACCCAGAGAACTGCACATACTAGACAATCTTTTGAATGACTTGAATCGCTTGCCTTGGATTCATCATCTATGATTTTGTGCTTATATTTCACTGTTCATGCAGGTCTGTGTTTGACACCTTCCACCCCTCTACTTTTATGGGATGTGCCACTTTTGATAGTAGATACATGTAGTTAAGCTCCGAACGGGCTGTCACGGATACATACATATGAGATATAATAAAAAATATGTTGGGATTCTAGTATTTTGCTGCCAATCTGTTTTTCCAAGTGAGAAAGCCAACAACAGTCATCTCTCCAAGTGTTGTCATCCTGTTCTGCTCTCCGCTTGTATTTACATGCCAGGTTTATTGCTTCATTAGGTGCTGCCTGGCAACTTGATGGCAATGCAGGCATAGAGAAGACTCGATCCTCATCCGAGGAAGACCTCACAGGTTCAAGAGCCTGGTTGTTACAGAGTACCACTCAGCCTGGTGAAGCGGTGAGTTAATGTCCCACTTCATATTTTACCAAATTAACAGATTCAAGTTTTATTAATAATAAAAAATTCAGGATTCACAAAATTAATTGTTAAGTATTGCGAGAACCAAAATAGCATAAATGTTAATCATTTCAAATACCAATTTAATTTAAAGCATATGTCATGTGTACACAATGTATATAAATATTTGGTAAAAACATATGATATGTATGAAATCATTGGTTGTGTATATATGCTAAAAAAATCTATCCATTGAATAATGAATTCTTGCATGCATATAAGTTCATTTTGTACCCTTTAGTATTGAACGCATTTGGTACTAATTTACAAATACACAGCTGTTTTTTTGTTTCACCATGCTGTATGGTAACATCATTTCCATGTTTCACTTAACGTTGCGTTGCTGCTCTGCAAAGATTTGGTAAATATTGTGTTACATGTTAAATGCATTGTTGTACTTCAGGATAAAGTTACTGTAGAAAGTCAGGTGGGCATGAACGCTATGGTACGGAAAACATCATTGCCAAAGTAAGTGTCATGTATGTAGCCTCAAGGAGGCAGGGGGGTGGAAGATAGAGAATTAAGTTGCATGGTTTAAGATGGCTTATTTAACTAAATTACAGTTTACACCTGAAACTGAGAGAAGAATGCGTAATGCTAGCAGCGGAAGCGGCCTTGCCAGGCTAGCCAGACGGCTCAGTCAAAGGGGAGACAAACGAGAGCACGGGGAACGAACGCCTGCACGGCGACAACGTTCTATTTCAGTCGATTGGTATGTATATACGGGGGCTAAAACGATAGATGTGGCATGATATGCAGTGTTTTGTCAATGCGTCGTCCCCACCACATGTTGCATGTCACCTTCCCACTCCTAGCTTTTCGTCAATCAAAGCCTCCCGTGTGCCAATCGTTTGCTTTGTCATATAAATTTCTCCATTGTCGGGTATTTAACTGCTCTTTATGATACTTTTTTCTCTAAGAAGTTATTTATGTGTACTTGGGTGATGGCTTAGTTGTAATGTAATTGAATTATGTCTATCTCAATTTACATAACTGTTTTCAGCAAGTGCAGAAATTATATCTCAACTCATCAAAATAATATTCAGAAAAGAAACAGAAATTATCACTTTTATCTTTGATTTCTATAACACGTGTGATTTCTTTTGTGTTACATTATTTTGCTCGTTGATTTCCATATAGATTTACTCACATCTATAATTGAATTCTCACAATAAAAATTGTTTGTCTGGCTTGTTTAACAGGTACATTTAATGATTTCATTGGCATTAAAGTGCTCTGTTTAGTCAAAAACAGTATCAGTGCAGTTCTGAGTATCGAAATTGAACTCCATTTGTTATCTGTACATGTATATCATAATCCTGTATGAGATTTTTCTTAGTTTGACAGAAAATCAATATTTTTTTTGAGATCAAAATCAACTTTGTACATTGTCTTCACCATCAAGGAGATTACAGGTTTAACTCTTGTGGTGGGGCTGCCCACCAACAGAAAATGTCATTCAATCGAAGGGACCAGTGAGCTGCATAGGTACAAATGAGTTTTCCCATTGATCTAAATAAATAAATAAATAAATAAATAAATAAATATAAAAAAAATAAATAAATAAATAAATTGCAAGTTATTTTCGAAGTAAGTAGTTTGTATTTTGCTAAACGACACAAAATTTATAAAGAGCAAATAAGCAACTATTTTATTAATTTATTTTAACCAAAATTAAATAAAAGATATTAAAGGGCATGCCACTGTGATGACATGCAATAACAAATTTTACTGATCATGAGACATATCGTTAGATTTAGGCGAATCTGTCAAATAAATGCTGTTATTAGGGTCCTTCTCATTTTTTTTCTAGTTCTTGCATAATGACTGTAGCTTTTTTATTTGACATGCTCGCTTCTTTGTCCGCAATGTTTCTATGGTAACTGACCAGCATCCATGGGATTGCATTGATTTGTGCATGCAACTGACATGAATTCCATAACCTCATACTGTGCCAAAGTTGGACAATTTGAATGCGATCTTCATCGTATGCTTATAAAATTTGAAAAGCTTATCTTTTTACCGAGCTTTGTTAGAACTTATACTTAGTAGTCTTTTCAACAACTAAAGTTTTAAGTTATTATTGTACTAAAATTCAGACTGCTATCAAATTCAGAATCTCATATTACAAGACATTTAACCTCCTTTGTACATGTACCTATTGTAATTTGATGCTACGAACTTCTTTTATGACATACATTTGTAACGTATTAATATTTCATGATTCAAATTTCTTTCTTTTCAATATATTAATATAACATTATAATATATAATTATATAACATTATATTTCACACTCGCACGCAAGACAAATTAAACTTGATATACACGTACCATTTCACGGTGTGCTTTGTTGCACTAGCATGTACTACTAAATACATACAAATTGATATGCAGTTATGGCATTTACGTTATAACGTGTGCTACAAAAAACAATGTTTTTATATTACAATAAATCATAAACTAGTGTGCATGTTTATTGACGTCAAAGCTATCTTTATTGCTTTTTAAATATATCTTTAAATCCACCATTCTTTCTCCATTAATGTAAATCTAATGTTGTGAAGCTCATTTCCACGTTGGATCCATCCTTTGTTTCATCAATTGTGATTCCTGTTTATTGGAGTAATTGGTTCAACAATTTCAAACTTTTTCTGAATTTGTTGATACTATATAGTGAAATACGCATTTACAAAGTTCACAATACAGGGAAATTCTTGAAACTAATAGCGGTGACATTTCATGTGAGATCATTTCATTGGAACCAAATTTCATGTTCACTAATGTCTACAAGTATAAGTTTGCTCAAAATATAATGCTAGCAATAACTTTGTAAATTATGACAGTAACCTAAAATAACAGGCAACATAAACTACTTTAAATGACATTACCATGGTTACTGTAATTGTACAGCATCATCATCATATTAGATAGAAAGTGATTATAGCCATGTGGGGCATCTATGAACTGTTAATGTTTTGAACAAAAGGATGTTGAAGAGAACTGATATCTATGCAAATAACATTATCTCATCCCATGGGACAAATTATGGTAATGCAAGAAACATTACTTTTAGATGAAATTAAACTAAAACTAATCAGCCTGTGAAATATAGAAGCCTATCAATTTTATTCCTAATGTTAATTCATTACAGAAACAATTAGTTTTATCAGTTAGGATATAAATAGATTTGATGCGTAATATAGTCTTTCACTTTGTCTGTATTGAACTACTTGTATAAGTGGTTGTATATTGACCTGTAATAGCACATAATGATCTTTCGCTTGGTCTATATTGACCTTCATTTACAAGTGATTATATATTGACCTGTAATAGGTCGTAATGTTTGTTCTTTGTGTCTGTATTGACCTACATGTACATGTACAAGTGATTGTATATTGACCTGTAATAGGTCATAATGGTTGTTCACTTGGGCTATATTGACCTATATGTACAAGTGATTGTATATTGACCTGTAATAGGTCAGTCATAATGGTTGTTTTTTGTGTCTGTATTGACCTACATGTACAAGTACAAGTGATTGTATATTGACCTGTAATAGCACATAATGGTCTTTCGCTTGGTCTATATTGACCTTCATTTACAAGTGATTATATATTGACCTGTAATAGGTTGTAATGTTTGTTCTTTGTGTCTGTATTGACCTACATGTACATGTACAAGTGATTGTATATTGACATGTAATAGGTCATAATGGTTGTTCACTTGGGCTATATTGACCTATATGTACAAGTGATTGTATATTGACCTGTAATAGGTCATAATGGTTGTTTTTTGTGTCTTTATTGACCTACATGTACAAGTTATATATACCTGTTTTATATTAACATACCTTGAGTGATTCTCAATGAATTTATTTTAAGTATAGGCTCTGGTGGAATGAAGATATAACTACATTTTCTAATAATGTCAATTTTATTGTGATTCCTAATGGATAGGGAGACTGACTTTAGTGAACATTCTTGGTGACCTAAGTTAGCACGTCACTTTCAACCAAAATAATACCTACTTGGAACAAAGCAATCTAAATTAGCAGTTCAATTCTGTTGACTGACCTTTAGTTTGTATGTTTGTAATTTGTTTTCTCCATAGCGGAGATGTTCGGAAAGCTCAGAGTATGGAAAGCTTACTCAGTCCCAACAATAACGAAATTAAAGCTTCGTCAATTCCGCCATCGCCATCAGCTCCGCAAAGGTTGTACCGCAAACTGTCGGGCAAAAGACGAGATAGTGTTGTCCCCGTAGATGCAGACAAAACTGATAAAGAAAAAACTAAAAAGTCTTCCCGGGGAATCACTGACATTAAAGGTAATATGAATTTCTTCATTCATTGCGTTTATAATTCAACATATTTGCTATTTGTATTTATTATGGTTGATTGTCTTATTGGTTACCTACTTATTAAATAATATTTTTGGTTGTTTTTTTTCAGCTCTATTCGAAGCTGTTGAACACCAGGACATAGAGGCTGCAAAGGGAATTTTAGAAACCAATGGTTTAGATATAAATGCAGTGAATTGTGAAGAATTTACAGTACTAGACATTGCAGTGATGACAAATAATACATCAATGGCAAAATTACTGCTTGCCATGGGAGCAAGGGAAAATCCAAGATGTAAGTATATTTACAACTTTGTTGCCAAGTAATTGTGCTCTGCCTGCCTACCTGTCTCCCTCGATCTTTCTTTTTATCTGTTCAGGCAGTATATATTTTCACTAGATTCATTAAAGATATCTGGAAGCAAAAACAATATAATTTATTTGTCTATAAAACACCGTAGAGACATGTTTGAAAATGTTATTGATGCATTTGTATGTGTTTTTTATTTGGAAAATATGCACTACCTTTAAAATCACACCTGTTTTTGTTTACTTTGGACATAGCGATGTAGCATACTGAAATAGAATCATGTCACTGAAAGATTACACAAGTACAAATCATGTTTACTGGCATTTCGGACTTCTTGCCTGATTGTGAGTTCAAGATTTCACAACTATGCCGCAATGCATGCAGTCAGGCAATACGGGATTGCATTGATTTCCACTATGCTTTGGTCGATATGATCGCCATATTGCTTCTGTGCATACAGCTAATCACATGTTAATTCCATAGTATTGTAAATCTGTCAATGTAACACTGTATGTTATAGTACACCCTAGATATTAAAACGTGACTTTTGTATCCAACCTTATTATGGAATGGAAGTTTCAAATATAGAACGGTAAACTTACCGGTACAAGTCAGCCGCGTTTTAAAAAAACATCTATAGTAAGAAAGTTTTTTTTTTTTCAAATGGTTTGGTAGTTGTATATTTAAAATAATATAAGCATTTGGTCATTATGCAGTCATATTGATCTCTGATATTCTTATAGGACTGTTTTTTGTGTTTTTTGTGCTGTATCTTCATAATAATCTGAGCATACATGTACCTACAGGGGTGAAGATCATGGCCACTTAAGAGCTATTTAAATTCTACTAAGCTTAGATTGTATTACTGGAATAAATTGAGTCCATATACAGCCATGACTGTGGCTGTCAATATGATTCATACAACTAGCCAGTAATTTCATCAGCTAATTAGCTGATGATACAGCTGTGTTGCAATCAATGTTACTTTCAGGAAGGCAGTAGATCGTTATCATATTTGGAGGCAAGATATCCCTTCATACATAGCTGGAGGGGTAACATTTACATTGAGACTTCTTAGCACATGTGTTATGCCGACAAGGCTCCAATGAAAACTACCACCTCCGGATCTATACACAGATTAAATTGCAACACCACAATATCGTTAACTAATTAGATGACGATATATTGCTGGTGAGGTGTACGAAACAAATTCGTGGCCACAGAAAATATATAGTTGATTGAGATTTTGCAGTCATTCTTTTTCTAGACCTCATCTTAAGAATGAAAAAGATTGGAATTCAGAAATTAGAATACATATAGAACATAAATTTAAAGATGCAAGTATTTCTGAGCATGTATTTTTTTTTCAAAATTATTCGGGTTTAGTATTCCATAAAATAAAGCCCTTGTTTTGGCAACAAACACAGTAGAATTCATTAAATGAAATATTGAATAACGCTGTCCATGCATCCTGGATTTACATATACCTACATGTTTAGGTAATTAAAAACATGTGTTTTCAATATTCCATCAAAGGAATACTGCTATATTTGTAGCCATATCAATATTTTTATTTTATGATAAAATTCTTCATTTCTTTCCCCAATATCAAATTATTTAAACATGTGTAAAATTACTTGAATGTATCCACTTTTTTTATCCCTCTGAATGCTAGAAACCCCCCCCCCCTCAAACAAAAATCTATGCAAATATTTTAACATTTTGTACAATTCACAAAATGTTATCATCATTTTAAAACATGCATACAGTTTCAGATATTACTTTTAGTTTTGAATCAATTTTCATCAACATTTCATGTGGAGATGATCAGACTGCACAACATCAGTTTGTAGATGGTGCCAAAGGTTGACAATGGCACGCAAAGGTTTCAATAACAATCTGTAATATGTTTATAATAGGATGATATCAATTTAATTATTAAATTATTTGTTTTAATATGTTTATTCTCAGTAGTTCAACATTCTGATTAGAGAACAACCAGTAGCCTCTATTCAAATTTCTATAAATTTTTTTGTTTTTTTTTTAATATGTACCGGGTAATTCTGAGCTGAAATTACCTTCATGGCATCACATAAATATACTCTTTGAAAATTGTTAGGATACTATATGATTATTATTTATCTCCAGCTATTCAATCATTAATTTACGTCATGTGACATATCACATGATTATGTGTTTTTTAATTTATATGGCATGTGTGGTCCCACAATGGTAATATTGGGCTCCCTATTACATAGATTAAAAAATTTGAAAGGATTGCTCAAAATTTGTTCCTGGATTTATGGAATTATATTTTGTTATAGCCTGATATTAGAAGCAATAAAAACAGGTCATTAGTAACCCTAAATACCCTGAGGATTACCTGCAAGGATAAACAAATATACCTCTCTATATGCCAGGAGAGATTATTCTTTGAAGAATTATTGAAATGAGTTTAATAATGAAAGTTATTACAAAATATGCATATCAAATGGAACTGCAGTCACTTTATCCACAGCACATTCAACTATAAAACAGCTGTTATGTTTTGTTATAGTAGACTTTATATTTTCACTAAATAACCTCATGTTATAAGTATGTGTCAATTACATTTTAAAATGATTTGTTTTTGACTGGCTGTCATAATTTCACTCCATATATGGTTTATGTTGTCTGTGTTACAGCTGTGCATAGCTGTCATAACCATAAAAGCAACAGAAATGCCTTGTAATCCATCCACAATCATTGGTCCTTTTACCTTCACCCAGTTATGAGGCAGGCATGGGGTTGAGCCTATTTATGTTGCATGCATGGGCCCAGTTATGGAGCATGCATAGGGCTGAGCCCATTTATGATGCATGCATGTGGCTGAGCCCAGTTATGTTGCATGCATGTGGCTGAGCCCATTTATGATGCATGCATGGGGCTAAGTCCTGTTACA